TTTATATTGTATGCTAACAAACTGGAATTTAAATTAAAATAAAGAAAAAAATAGCTAAGGGTGCCTGGGTGACTCAGTGATTGAGCATCTGCCTTTGGCTAGGGTTGTGATCCTGGTGTCCTGAAATGGAGTCCTGCAGCAGGCTCCCTGAGGGAAGCCCCCATCTCCTATTGCCTATGTCTCTGCCTCTCTCTGTGTGTCTCTCATGAATTAATAGATACAATTAAAAAAATATAAACTGGTAAGTCTTCACCCAAGGAGAGTGAGAAAGAAGGCATCATGACCTTGGACTAGGGTTTGGATATAAGGCAGGTAGAATAGTCCATTACTAAAATGCTATCAATCAAATAACCCTGGATAGTTGGGAACAAAATGCATTCTGAGAAGTTAAAATTGGAGAAAGACGCTGATTTCCATAATAACACATATCATATGACTGAAATCTATATGGAATTTAAGAAACAAAACAGATGAACACAGGGAAAGGGAAGGAAAAATAAAATAAGATAAAAACAGATAGGGAGGCAAGACATAAAAGACTCTTAAATATAGAGAACAGAGTTGCTAGAGGGGAGGTAGTTGAGGGATGGGCTAAATGAGTGATGAGCATTACAGAGGGCACTTACTGTGATGAGCACTGGGTGTTTATATGTAAGTGATGAATCACTAAATTCTACTCCTGAAACCCATACCACTACTATATGTTAACTAATTGAATTTAAATAATAAAAATAAATTTACAGGTCTGATTTTTAAGACAGCAATTTTGTTTAAATAATATGTTGTTGGCAGAACATTTTTTCATTCTATTATACAAATGTATTTTAGATTCCAAATATAGGTAAGTCCAAACGTAAGTTATGAAAAATACAGATCCCCACAACTCACACATTAGTATCAAATATTTATTAAATATAAGTAAATAATATAAATACAAGTAATTATTAAATACTTACTATTCTTATGAAAACATTCTTTAGATGGGCAATGTCAAATAAGTCCTCTCTCTACTTTAAACCATGTGTGACAATATCACATGTTCTTTATTTCTATATTCATTTTTTAACATATTGATCACCTACCATGAGTCACTCTAGTAGGTGAAGAGGATTGTAATGATAGAAAATATAGATATGGTCTGGACTTCAATATTATCACCCAACTATTTAATGATAATATAGTTTACTTCCATTATAGTGTTTGGCTTTGAATAAAGCTAGCTAATATATTAAGCTACTTATTTTATCTTTTTTTTTTGAAGATTTTATTTATTTATTCATGAGAGACACAGAAGTGAGAGAGGCAGAAACAGAGACAGAGGGAGAAGCAGGCTCCATGCAGGGAGCCCAACATGGGACTCGATCCCGGGTCTCCAGGATCATGCCCTGGGCCGAAGGCAGCGCTAAACCGCTGAGCCACTGGAGCTGCCCTACTTATTTTATCTTAACACTATTTAGTTTTTTATAGGAAATGTTAGAAGAGGTTACCTTCCCCTCATATCTTCATGTTGTATTTTAATTTCAAAGTGATAAGTTATCAGAAATATACACAAGTATTCATTGTGTATTCTATCTAAAAAAGCTTTTATCTGATCTCATCTATTTTTTCTTAGATTCCATTATAATAAAGAACTTTTATATATTATTTATTTATATAATTTGAGACCACATACTTCCAATCACTGTGTATTGGTTGCAAGAATTTTATTCCTAGTTAAAGGAAGAGATTTTGATCCAGATATGAACATTTTCTCAGATAAAACATATATTTAAATTACTGATATAGCTAAATAATAATTTTGTTTCACTCTAGTTACCTGGAAATTTATATAATTTTTTTCTGATATTCTTATAGATCACTCCATTTCAATTTTAAAATTTTAGTAAAGAGATGGCTGGGTGGTTCTGTGGTTTGGTGCCTGCCTTCAGCCCGGGACGTGATCCTGCAGTCTCAGGATGGAGTCCCAATCAGGCTCCCTCATGGAGCCTGCTTCTCCCTCTGCCTATGCCTCTGCCTCTCTCTCTTTCTGTGTCTCTCATGAATAAATAAGAAAACCTTTAAAAACAAATTTAGTAAAACAATTGACTAAGTACTTGAGACTTAGAGTTCTATTAATTGTTTTATTTCTTCATGGTTGGACAGTGAAAATAATATCAGATAGTTTTATTTGTTCAGTTTGTTCAGTTTCTTGATCAGGATTCTTATATAATAGATGTTTAAGTAAAGTCTTAAAATAGCTGATTTACGTCCACAGTGTCAAAGAAAAATGTCTATGAAGTTTACACAAAATTGACTACAGAGATCTGTAGATATGTATTCAATTATATTTTATCTCTTCTCTCATTATAAATCTTGCTCTATTACTTAAATTGGAGAATATTCAAAGGATTTGGTATTATCTAATTTAGCCATAATTTCCTAAATACATACTTATAAGCATGTAACATTATTAAACCTAGGCATAAATAATTTATTGATGAAGTGATATAGTATTTTGGAAGTCTGTTCCTTTATTCCCCCTCCTGTTACCAGTTAAACCTAGCATTAGAAAATACTAGAAAGATTATACCATTTATTTTATTTTATTTTATTAAGATTTTATTTATTCATTCATGAGAGATAGAGAGAGAGAGAGAGAGAGAGAGAGGCAGAGACATAGGCAGAGGGAGAAACAGACTCCATGCAGAGAGCCTGACGTGGGACGCGATCCCGAGACTCCAGGATCATGCCCTGGGCTGAAGGAGGCGCTAAACCGCTGAGCCACCAGGGCTGCCCTATACCAAACATTTAAAGAAAAGTTAGGGATCCCTGGGTGGCGTAGCGGTTTAGCGCCTGCCTTTGGCCCAGGGCGCGATCCTGGAGACCTGGGATCAAATCCCACATCAGGCTCCCGGGTGCATGGAGCCTGCTTCTCCCTCTGCCTATGTCTCTGCCTCTCTTTCTCTATCTGTGTGACTGTCATAAATAAATAAAAATTTAAAAAAAATTAAAAAAAATAAAAATAAAGAAAAGTTAATACCTATACTTCTCAAACTATTCAAAAAATAGAAGAGGAAGGAAAGCTCCCAAATTCATTCTACAAGGCCAGTTTGGCCTGATACCAAACTCAGGTAGAGACACGACAAAAAAAGAACACTAGAGGCCAATAGCTCTGATGAACATAGATGCTAAAATTCTCAACAAAGTATTAGCAAGCCAAATCCTATAATAAATTAAAAAATATTATTCACCATGATCAAATGTGATTTATTCCTAGGATGCATGGATAATTCAATATTCACAAATCAATCAGTATGATAAAGCACACATCAACAAAAGAAAAGATAAAAACCACATAATCATGTCAATAGATGCAGAAAAAGCATTTGACAAAATACATCTATTCATGATAAAAGTCCTCAACAAATTGTATTTAGAAAGAACATACCTCCATATAATAAAGGCCATATATAAAAAACCTATATCTAACAACAAACTCAATGGTGAAAAATTTGAGAGCTTTTCTTCTAAGATCGGTAACAAGACAAGGATGTCCACTCTCACCACTTCTATTCGACAACGTACTAGAACACCTAGTCACAGCACTCAGGCAAGAAAACGTAATAAAAGACATTCAAACTGGTGAGGAAGAAGTAAAAGTCACTTTTTACAGAGAAGAGCTGAAAGACTGTACCAAAAAACTACTAAAACTAGTTAGTAAATTCAGTAAGGTGGCAGCACACAAAATCAATGTACAGAAATCCACTGCATTTCTACACACTAATAATAGTAGTAGAAAGAGAAAATAAGAAAACAATCCCATTTTACAATTGCACCAAAAATAATAAGGTAACTAGGAATAAACTTAACAAAGGAGGTGAAAGACCTGTACTCTGAAAGCTTTAAAGCACTGATAAAAGAAATTGAAGACAACACAAATGGAAAGATGTTCCATTTCATGGATTGAAAGAACAAATATTATTAAAATGTCTATATTATACAAAACAATCTACATAATTAATGTAATCCCTATCGAAATACTAAGAGCAGTTTTCACGGAACTAGAATAAATAATACTAACATTTCTATGGAACCAAAAAAGCTCCTGCATAGCCAAGGCATTCTTGACAAAGAGTAATACTGAAGGTATCACAATCATAGATTTTAAGATATTCTACAAAACTGTAGTAACCAAAACAGTATGGTAGTGGCACAGAAATAGACACATAGTTCAACAGCACAGAATAGAGAGTCCAGAAGTGAATCCATCATTATATGGTCAATCTTCAATGAAGGAGGCAAGAATATGCAATTAGAAAAAGTCTCTTAAACAAGTTGTGTTGGGAAAACTGGACAGATATATGCAAAAGAATGAAATTAGACCACTTTCTTGGAGCATACACAAAGATTAACTCAAAACAAATTAAAGATCTAAATATTATACCAGAAATCATAGGAAATCCTAGAAAAGAGCACAGGCAGTAATTTCTCCAACATCAGCTGAAGCAACGTTTTTCCTGATATGTCTCCTGAGGCAAAGTAAACAAAAGTAAAAATAAACTATTGGACTACATCAAAATAAAAAGCTTCTGCATAGTGCAGGAAACAATCGACAAAACTAAAATACATTCTACTGAATAAGAGACGATATATGCAAATAACATTTTCACTAAAGGGTTACTACCCAAAATATATAAAGAACTTATAGAACTCAACACCAAAAAAACCACCAATAATCAAATTTAAAAATGAGCAGAATACATGAACAGACATTTCTCCAAAGACATACAGATGGCCAACAGACACATGAAATTTCTCCAAAGACATACAGATGGCTCAACATCACTCATCATCATCAAATGTCCAGTGTGAATGTATTATATACTATTCATGTAGTGTATTTTATGTACACACTTATTTTTAAAATAAAATAACACAGAACAGCTATTATCTTGCAAGTGACAACATTGGCTTTAAAGACCAGAGTCCTGTTGCAGTTGGTGGGTAGTAACTGAGCCAAGATACTGTGGAATCTGCTGGCTCTTTGCCAGACTGTCCAGAGGACCATAAGTACTGCTTCATGCAGGCAGTTTGAAACTAAAGTTCCAGAGAAACAAAAGCTATTTCAGGAGGATAATGGAATTCCAGTGCTTCTAAAGGGGAGAGTAGCTGATGCCCTCCTCTATAGAGCCACTATGATGCTTACAATTGGTGGAACAGCATATGCCATGTATCAGCTAGCTGTGGCTTTTTTTCCCAAGAAGTAGGATTGACTTCAGTTCATCTCAGCAGGCGGTTTGTTCAGTTTCACTCAGCTCTCTATGGATCAGTAATTGATAAATTCAATATTTATTTACTTATACTAACTGCCACCAATAAAGCAGTCTTTACCATGAAAAAAAAAAAAAGACCAGAGTCCTGCCAGTGACTAGAGCTTTGTGCCTTTAAGCTAGTTTCCTAAAATTTCTGAAATATCTTGAAATTGTGTATGAAAAAGTCCTATTTTTTTCAGAGCTAGAGTAAGGATTAAATAAGCTAATAAATGCAAAGAAGAAAAGGTAGATACTCAATATTGAACACCACTCTTCTTTATTCCAATTCTTGATTAGTATCATCACTTTTATTGAAAAAAAATATTGTGTAATTGTACAGGAAAGAGTCCAACTTAAAAGAAACTGTGAAAACATGTGACACCTTATACAGTCAAAAAAATAACAAGATAATTGTGAAATAGATTCTTGCTTTACTTTTTACCTGAATTTACTGAAGGGATCTTCTTATATCTGAGCACAAGCCATTATTAATATCAACTATTGTTTTTTTAAAAAATAAAAATACCATATGATCCAATAATTCCACTAAGTATTTACGCAAAGTAAGCAAATGCTAATTAAAAAAGTTATATGTACCCCTCTGTTTATTGAAGCATTATTTATAGTAGCTAAGATATGCAAGCAACCTAAGTGTCCATAGATAGATGGATGGATAAAGATGTGATGCATACATACATATTTATATATGCATATGTGCATATAAAAAGGAATAGTAGGCAGCCATAAAAAGGATGAGATATTGTCATTTGCAACAACACAGATGAACTTAGAGGGTATTAAGCTAAATGAAATAAGTCACAATAAGGAAGACAACTATTATATGATTTCACTCATATGTGGAATCTGAAAAATGAAACAAATGTACAAACAAAAAGCAGAATCAGACCTATAAGTATAGAAAACAAATTGATGGTTGCCAGAGGGAACAAAGTCGGAGAATGGGCAAAATGGGTAAAGTGGAGGAAAGGGTACAGGCTTCCATTTATGGAATAAATATGTTATAAAAGTATAAAAGGCATAGTACAGGGAATATAGTCAGTAGTATTGTTAATAGCATTGTATGATGACAGATGGCAGCTACACAGGGTGAGCATAGCATTATGCTATGTATGCATAATGTATAGAGATGCTGAATCACTATGTTGTGTATCTGAAACTAGTGTAACATTGTGCATCAACTATACTAAAATTAAAAATAATTTTAAACCAACTGTTTTTCTATTTCTCTTAGTGTTTCAAATTATCTTATACTATGCTTCAAGACTTACTAAAATAATTTAAGTCAATGTAGGATACACGAATTTGTTGAGCCATTAATCTGTATATGTTAAATTCTATATTAAATTGAATGCTAATTGAAAATTCCACACAGCTCCTGGCCTTTCCTGGTAGGCAGTCTAGTATTAGCAAACACCACATCAGGCAGTGTGGACACTAAGAATCTCATTGTCATCATACATTGTTTTCTCACTAGGTTACAAATACAAAATAGGTTAATGTTTCTTAACTCTAAAGTAATGCTATAATTTCCTCTTAACAATCTTTAGCTTTTTTATTATCATTAATACTTATTATCCATTTATCATGTATTAAACAAACATTTGATAAGGACCTATTATACAAATATGTCCCAATCACTGTTCAATGTGTTATTAACACAATTATTCACATTTTTAATGGGGAAATCATGTAATAATGTTCAGGAACTTTATTTTAAATACTCTGGACTATTTAATACAACCAAGCAAGTACCATAAAAACTTTAATCACAGATAAGGCCCAGGTTTTCAATGTTGCTGTTTTTCTACTGAATTATTATTTTAAATATTACCAGGCATAGAATAAAAACTGCATGACTAAGTGGCTCAGTTGGTTAAGCCTCTGCCTCTTGATTTCAGCTCAGGTCATGATCTCAGGATCCTGGGATCAGGCCCACATCATGCTCTGTGCCCAGAATGGAGTCTGCTTGAGATTTTGTCTCCCTCTGCCTCTGCCCCTTTCCCTGCTCATGCCTGAGCTCTCTCTCTCAAAATAGATAAATAAAATCTTAAGAAAAAAAAATCTGTGTAACTTCAGGAAATTCATTTTCATGTACACTCTATTTTGATATCACTTCCTTTAATGAAAGTATTTTTAAAAATTAAATTTAAAAACTATATAATAAACCTATGGGGCCCTTTGGTGACTCTATCAGTTAAGCGTCCAATGCTTGACTTCAGCTCAAATAATGACCTTGGGTCATGACACTGAGCCCCCTGTGAGGCTCCACACTCCGCACAGAATATGCTTAATACTGTCTCTCCCTCTCTCTCGGCCACTCCCCGAGTCTCTCTCTCAAATAAATAAATCTTTAAAAAATAAATATATATAATAAATCCTAGAACATGTATTGTAACACAGAATAGAATTGTTAATAGTATACATTCTGTTCTAGTCCTTGAACTCATCCTTGAAGGATTATTTTGGGACAAATTGAGAAAGTGGTGAGTCTATCTCTTAATGGGACAGCAGTTCATCCTTTTGTTCTTAATATGAAGTACCACATATCTCAGTCTTATGTTTTAATATTCTTCATATTAGCTCTTCATAGTATTCTTTATTGGAGGAAAAATAAATGTCTTTTACTAAAAATAAGTAAAAATCATTGATCTAGTATTAATATAATTGGTCAATATTAATATCATTTTTTATTCATATAATTGGTCAATATTAATATCAGTTTTCTACTGTTATGGATAATTCTAGATTACAGACTCAAATAATGTTGGGTTTAATAATAGTTTTGAAGATTTTTATTAATCGGAAATTAGTCAGTGAGTATATAACAGAGTGGGACACAGTATAATTATATGTCATTGCCATAATCAAAGCAGTCAGGCGGTATCCACTATATATCCAATTAGTCAACAATTTGAATGACATCAAATTTTCACATCTCCTAAAACATTGCTAAATAAAAATATCTACATATCATGTACCTCTTTTATATGTTAACTTATTATACATAAATTAAGAAAATGCTTTTTATCTTTCATAGGGCAATGCCAGTGTTTTAGGGCTCTTTTTGCCTTATTACATCATAAACACTTTAACAGCAGCCCAGTATAAATTATTATCTTTTTATTATAAACAAAGAAGTTCAATCTTTATGAGATCAATTAACTTTCTCAGGGTCATACAGCACAAAAAAAATGTTTCTGGTTTCCTTCAGTAGATTTTAATATCCTTAGCAACACTTTTTGTACACTAGCATAGTGCTTCATAAGAGTGTGGAGTCAATAAATCTTCTTGACTGACTAATCTCTAAGTGAAGCTGATTGCAGCAACTCTTAACCTAGTAAGATTAGCATACCATTTCCCTAATTTTATTTTTCCAGTCATAATAAAATAGTGGAGGAAATATACTGATTAAGTCCTAAAAAAAAAATGTTCTTGAAACAAATAGCAAAGAGCAGCAAAAAGGAAACTCCTTGCTCAGAGATATGAAAAAATACTTACTACCCTGAATCTCCGTCTATTCAGAAAGTGACACATAAGATATAAATTAGAACTTGTAGAGCTCACTCCTAGGTTCAGACCTCGGGGAACACTAAGTTGTACTTTTTGAAAGCTCAAACCAATAGTAATTTTTTAAAAAACTTTTTTTATAGTATTTCAAATGTAGTTTGACAAAATTGTCCAGGAAGGCTTGGCAAAAAAAATAGTAATTGATGTGTTGTGTTTTTGAAGAGACTGATGTGCAAAGTATAAGAAAAGTGTGAGTATCAGTCTGCTCCACTACTATTAACCTTGTCTTTTCAAGGGAAATAAGTGCTCAGCCACCATGGCCTATAACAAGTAGACCTCTTGGATTCAGGCCCTTCTTGCTGCTAGTTCAGAACTGAAACATACAAACATATTACAGGAGGCTGAATGATGATAAGTATTTTCAAAACAACATATTTAAACCTATAATTCTTAGTGTTGCAGGCACTAGGCTCTTATCCTCATAATATAGCAAACAAGTAAAACTTATAGTCCCAAAATAAATTTGAATCGATCTCATTCAAAATAATGGCAATCCAAAAGAAATTCTATGTTGAAAGGATGCTAACATATGTCAACAATTACCCAAAAAAAGATCAAAAAGTAAGAAAACTGAAATTAATATACACAACAAAAAAATGTTTTCCATGGATTCTGTGAAATACAGAAACATAATCAGAATTCAAAGGAAATACAATAAGAAAACATGATTTCATGAAAACTGAACTGACACAGCCAGGAGTAGACATGAAAAGTAAATAATAATAGAGAATAGGTCAGTCACAAAGTAATTAGAAAATAAGCTCTGAAAAATGAAGTCAGGAACTAGAAGAATAGACTTGACATAATGTAAGCAGACTGACATAGAAAAATAAAACATTCAAAGTGATTAGGAAAAAATATGATGCAAAAATTTAAATAAAATAAAATAAATATTAGATGATTATTTAAAATCAAAGTACATTTTTCTAAAATAAAGGAATACTTATATTGATAGTTTGAATACTATACAGTATCCCAAAGGGATAAGTATTACATGATTGCACAAAGATACATTTTACACATGTATGCGTGCACACACACACACACACACACACACAAATCTGAGACAAAATATTAGCAAAGTCAAAATTATAAAAAGAGAGAATGCTCTAAGACTAACATATTTATTCCAAAATTGAAAGATAAATTAATCTTAGAAAATCTATAAATGCATCTTACCACATTGATTAAAGCAGCATCTATTTTACAGGTGCAGAAAAAGCTTTTATAAAATTTAAAATATATTCATTTAAAAATATCTTATTGTCTTAGGGGGTCCTTTCTTAACCTGATGAAGAACATCATAAAAGCCTACAGAAAAACAACACAATAAATGCAGACTTGTTGGAAATATTTTTCTCTAAATC